GGCGACCCGGTCTGAGGGCCAGGAGTCCGGGGACGGCCCGGGACATGCCCCGTCGGCCTCTGCCCGGGTCCCTCGTCCCCTCGCTCTTTGCTGGGTGTCCCCTGCCCCTCCTTGTCCCGGGACCCCCTCCACGACTTCCCCTCTCCCGGGGTCTCCTTCCCCTGCTCCTGGCCCAGGGGCCCCCTCGGGGCCCTGCCCTGGGTGCAGTGCTGGGGGCCCATGGTGTCGCAGTCCAGCAGCGCCCCCGCGCAGGGAGCTGGTGGCTGCCTGGCACTGCGGAGAGGAAGTCCCGGGACGCGCGCAGGAAGCAGCTCAGGCCCGGCGGAGGAGACGCGGGGTGTGCGGAGGCTCCTGGCGAGCGCCCCGAGCGCCCCAGGCTTGCCACAGCCGCAGTTGGCCAGGGGCACTGCGCGACTCCCGTGGGCTCAGCGCCTCCCTGGACAAGAGGGCAGCGCCGGGCTTGGAACTTCCCTGTGCGCTTTTGGGGGTGGTCAGTACCAGGGTTGGGGAGGTCGCCGGGGAAACAGTGAGTTGCACTGCACCCTACCAGGGCGCCTCGCGGCCACTTCACACAGAAAGAACCGGCTCCCCAGAGCAGGACTCCCGGCCTGCCGCAGGGGTGGGTGTGTGGGGCGTGGACCCCCGCCCGTAACGCCTGCGCCTTCAGCGCGGAAAAGGCTCCCCGACTTCCTGAAGCGGTTGCGCCTCCCCCCGGGCTCTGGACTGTAACCGCCCTACCAGCTGCCCCTGGCCGTGACCTTGGCTCTGAGCCAGTCGGTCCCTTTAAGCCGGGTTTGCTGAGCTTGACCAGCCCCAGCAGCCTGGCCGCGAGGTTGTCCTGACGACCTGGACGCCGCCTGCCCCGCCTGGCTGCCGCCTGCCCCCCTGGCCATGACCAGCGCCATGGCCGCCGCCCCTGGCGCCGCTGCTGCTCCGGAGCCGCTGGCCACCCAGAGGCCTCAGCCTCCCTGACCGCACTGCGAGGGACGACAGAGGGGCCTGGTCCGCGGATTTTACAGGGGGGGGGACCGAGGCCGAGTGAGCACGGATTTGCTCAGGCAGTCAGGGGTCTGGGAAGCAGAGGGAGCCATGTGCGGCCTCCCCCACCATGAGAGTCCCCACTGCCCAGAGGTGCCTGACCTCTGACCCATCGAGCCCTTGCAGCCCCTGGAGGAGGTGGGTGTCGCCAACTCTGGGGAGAAGCACCAGGCTGCAGGGACTTCTCCCCACCAGGTCCCTGGTGGCACTTGGGAAGGCAGTGGCCCAGGGGCAGAGCACAGGGCCACTAACAGGTCAGCACTTACACCTGAGGACAGGTGCCAGGTGAGAACCTTCTGGAACACCTGGTGCCTGCTGGGTACTGGAGAGGGCCCTGCAGACCACGAAGCCCATGAGCGCTGGTGGGGCTGGGGTGTGAATGTGTGACCCCCTGTGGGGGGGTCTGCAAAGACTGTGAGCAGAGGGGATGCTTGAGCATGGTAGAGGCCGGCAGTCACCTGAGGGGACGGTGCTCCGAGCAGGGCACCCCACGATCACAGGGTTGGGAAACACCAGTCTGTTGGGTGGGGAGGGCTGCTGTGGGGTATAGGGGATGAAAGGGGGAAAGGCTCAGAAAGGTTTGGATGTTATAGCGGGCATGGCCTGTGCTCTGGCCTGTCACCAGGTGGAGGAACATTTGGGGAGGGGTGACGATACATCCAGGGATTTGCTGAGCTTTGAGGGGGTGGGTGGAAGTGGGGGGAAGCCAGGACCCAGCACCCTAAGTCTCCCCATGCAGCTCAGCCATTCCTGGGGTGCAGAGGCCAACAACGCGAAGGCCCCGCAGGCTGCTCACCCTGCCCCAGGTGTGCTGTTTTCCCATGGGTGCCGTTTTTGCAGGTCGTTGTCTGTGAGGTGCCCAGCCGACCACCGTGGTCCGTGAGGTGCCCAGCCGACCAGTGGCTGTAGTTGCCACAGCGTCAGCCCCGACTCCTGGTGCCCCCACGTGTCAGAGCACATCTGTCCACTGCAGGGTTCCTGGCGGCTGATCTCCTGGAAGCTGATGGCCTTCCTTCCAAGGTCCCTCTGGTGGGACCTAACACCAACCTTCTGGGAGGCAGCAGAGTGTGAATCACTCGCAACCTTCAGAGACCCCCTGTTGTAAGAACTGCCCCAAGGCCGTGAATCTACAGAGGCAGACTCGAACTGCCAACCCTTCGGTTAACAGCCCTGTGCTGAACTACTGCACAACCAAGGCGCTTCTCTTCAGGATCAGACATAAATGAGACGGTTCACCGGACCCAGCCCAACCCCCCTATCCGCCCCCACCAGCTTCCCTGCCACCGCTGTGTTCTAGAAGGCTGTGGGGGTGTCTGTCGTTCCCAATGACGACACAGAAGGCTCGTCAGCCACGGTGTGGTGAGCCCGGTGTCCTGGGTCCCCACTGGCCCTTTTCTGAGCCTGTTCCGAGCATCTCCCTCAAAGGCCCCAGTCCCACACCCCTTGTCCTAGGGAGGAGTGCCTAGCCACCGCAGGCTAGGGCCATGGCTCCTTCTGAGCTGTTGCAGGTCACCTGGCTCAATCTAGAGATGGGCTCGGGAGGGACCCCGGCTGAGGCCAGCAAGGCTAGCAGAGAAGGGCCCCTCCCTGGTCTTGGGCTTGGCTCCAAGAGGTGGCAGGACATGGTCTGACCAAAGCCCTAAAACCTCCAGCCCCTTTAAACTGCACTGCAGCCATACGAAGCCTGATCAGTGCCGGCCCTGTGCTTGGCCTGGTTTGGGGGACCTTTTCTCACTACAAGACACTCCACACAAGTGACCAGGGATGCCAGGCCTGGGACAGGCTGGCTGTCAGACGGGTGAAGGGGCCAGAACAGAAATGAGTGACATGACTTGTTCACAGTATTCTCTTTAATGCAGCTTAAGCCCTTTACAGCCCTGAAAAAATGACACTAAATGTATTTAAAAACAAGAGGCTGTCCAAAGTACATCTCAGAACACTGAATCCCAGCATCCTCTCTCCACCACACAAGAGACATCTGGGAAAGGAGATGCTTGAAGACACGTCTGTCAGTGCAGTTCCTGGTTCGTCATTAGGATCTGTAAACGTTTTCAGTTCTTAATATCCTGTGTTAAAAAAATCTATTCTGAGGCTGTGATGTGGGGGAGTGAAGAGGAAGGTTTGCAGCAAGAGCTGCAGACTGGTGGTCTTTGCTCAGGTTCAGCCCTGCTCTGAGTGCTGTTACTTCATCCTGGAGCTTTCTGGCCTTGGGGAGAAGAGGAGGGGAGGGCAGTTAGGACTTGGGCCCTATGGGGGGGCGGCAGTGTCCCAGTGCCCATGCCCCGGGGCCTCGGTTCAGTCCTGCGCAGGCCCACGGGGCTTGCCTGACCCCTGTGATGGTGACAATGACCCTTGGGGCAGATGTGGGGACTATCTGGTGTCCCCAGCACAGCCCAGTGTCTCTGTCTGCGTCACTGTCAGGCCAGTGCGTGACCAGGAGCACAAGTTCTGGCCCTGCTGATGCCTGAGCCCAGCACAGTCACATGATGCCAGATTCACAGCTACCTGAGAGGCAGGTGGGGCCTTGGCTGCCACCCTGCCCAAGACAGAGCCAAGAAGCAGGTGCAGGCTTTCCCTGACAAAACGGACCCCTAGCCAATGCCCTGGACCAGAAAAAGGCGACCAGAGGGAGGTACTGCAGCCCTTGGCTGGGAACACTGATAGCCAGAAAGCACCAGTTACAACAGCCCCTAAGGGTGGGGTCCGGGTCCTCTGCTCTATTCCCCACCGTCCCTCCCCAGGTGTATCTCCTGCGTCCCAGGCCCTGCAGGACTCTACAAGCTCTCCTGAATACAGACACATCACGACTGAGGGACCCCTCCACATTCTGGGTGCACAGGATTCCAGCTAGAGAAACAGCATGGCCACTCATGCAGAACAACTCATGGATGGCGGGCTCTTCCCCATGGAAGTGGGTATATTCTCTCTGGTCGGACTGCCTCCTTGTGGAAAGTTCCATTTGTGTTCTATGACACTGTCATTCAGTCCTTCCAGACTAAGCCCCTCTCTTGCCCACCTAGCTGAGTCCCTGGACTACTTGTGTCCCCTAGGGACCTCCTGGCGCGCCTTCACAGCTGAAGCCTGGAGCCCACTCCCTTGCTGGGTAGGACGCAGTCCACAGAACCTCCAGAGACATGGAGCCAGGAAACAAACCAAAGCCACTGCCATCCAGTCGATTCCACTCGCAGCCTCCCCCACTGGGTTTCCAAGGCAGTAAATCCTCGTAAAAGAGATGATGCCCATCTTCCTTCTGCAAAGGGGCTGGTGGGTTTGAACCACCAACCTTCTGATTAGCAGTCAGATGCCTTAGGCACCAGTCCACCAGAGCTCCTTGAGACAGGGTGCCTGGGAAGGAAAATGTCTCAAATTGCCTCACCCTACCTCATGGCCTCACCCCTCCTCACGGCCTCACCCCTCTTCATAGCCTCACTCTGCCTCACAGGCCTCACTCTGCCTCACAGGGCTCACCCCTCCTCACGGGACTCACTCTACCTCATGGCCTTACCTCTCCTCATGGTCCTCACCCCTCCACATGTGCCCTCAGTCACCTAACTGAACAGAGCCACCCACGTTTCCCAAGGTGTAGGCGCCCTACCCCTCCTCACGCCCTCACCCCTCCTCACACCCTCACCCCTCCTCACGCCCTCACCCCTCCACAGCGACTTCAGTCACCTAAGTGAACAGAGCCCCCACGTTTCCCAAGGCGCAGCCCTTGGAGTTGCTATCAAGGATCCAACTGTGCTCTTACTTCCTAACCCATGTGGCCATCATATTCCTGGAATCTCCTTGGATCTCTGCCTCCTAGTTCAGGAGGTCGAGTCCTAGCCTGGACACTTCCGGGCCTTTCCAGTCTGGAAACACCTTGTTCTGAAAAGCTCTTGTATGCCCTCTTCGTCCATCCCCCCATCTAGTGTCGCTTTCTGGAACAGCTGCTGCCCCCACACCAAGGGCAAGGGGGGCTAAGTAAATGGCAGCGTCTCTGTGCAGCCCCCACCTGCCCCTTGGAGAGGGGGCCTAGAGATGGACGGCAGAAGGCAGATGCTGGGCATCTGTGATGGGCTGACCACCCACCTGAGAGGAGACACTGGGTGACAGGGCAGCCCTATAAGCGTGCCCATGAGCACGCCACACGTGGGCTCTGGGGAGAGGTGTGCACCCACGTGAACACCCGTGCCCGGAGCAGGGACCTGGGCCAGTGGCCTTAGGTGCCAGGGGCGGCACATGGTCCGTGGACTCAGCTCTGCGGGAATGCCCCCGTTATGGGATGCACCGCCACCCCACAGGCCCCATGGTTTTGACAACATGTGCCCAGAGCATCGCGGGCCCCCTCACGTCAACCATACGGACAACACTCACCACCTCCAGGTCCTGCATGGCCGCCTGCAGCTCCTCCAACGGGGCTGCCCCTCCAAGGCGCCTCCTTCTCTCGTGGATCTGCTGCACATGCCGCTTGACCGCCTCCTCCAGCTGCCCTTCCTGGGAGACCCTGTGGACGAAGGCGAAGGCGTGAATGCCGGGGATCTGGTCTGGCGCGTTCTCATCCGGCAGAGCATGGGGAAAGGAGCAGGTGGACAGCGGGGATCCAGTCGGGCACGTTCCCATCCAAGCGTGGTCCCAGCAACCCACCAGCTGGTAGGAGTGCCCTGGCCACCCAGGCCCTTTGGGGTCCCTGCGCCGAGATGCCCCTGGCAGAGTTTTGAGTTTTAGTCTACATTTTTCTCCCATCTACCCAGGATGTCCTGTTTTGATGCCTTTCTGAGTGGCTGACAGGGGTAACTGAGCACCAGCTAGTCCTGGTCTCAGGGCTGTGGAGGCTGATGTTTGCATGGTCCACTGGCCCTCAGACCAGCTGTCTCCAGTTCCACATCGTTTTGTACACAGGAGCCCCGCCCCTCCCATGGTGCTCTGCCCTACAGTCAGATCATTCCATGCTGAGAGCCAGTGCTCAGTGTCATGTGGGCCCCAGCCGTGGCCCTGCCCAGCACCCCCACAGATGCCCACGTTCCCCTCCTCTCTGGCTGGTGGTGCTGTGGCCTGGAATGGCCCAGAATGACCTAGAAGGCTAGGCTTCTCCCCAGCTTCACCTTCTCACTCCCTCCTCAGCCCATCCCCAACCCCCAAAGATGCCACCGTGAGTCCCTGCCGCCCTGTCTGGGCCTCGAGGCCACACTGCAGCTCTGTACCCGGGGCTCACCATCATCAGGGTGGGGCAAGCCAACAGGGCCCTCAGTCAGGGGCCCCTCGACACACTCACTCCACTGTGGCCCTCGTTCCCACACCCTTCCCAGCAGGGCCCCTTTCCATTCCACTTCTTGCCTCTGACCACTGTCCACACTCAAGTCTTGGTCTTGGGTCCCAGGCTGGGCTCTGGAGCTGGCTCACCACAGGTCAGACTGCCTGGGGTGGGAGTGGACACGAGTGCAGCCCAGAACACAGACATCTCACCTGGACACAGGGAGGGGGCAGCCCTGCCAGTATCACAGCCCCAGTGTGGCACACACATCCGACGACACCAAGCAGAGGGGACCAGGCCTTGAGGCAGGAGAGAGCTGGGCTCGGGCCAGATCACAGGCCCCAGGGGTGGAGATGCAGAGGCCCCTCCCCCGGACGCCACCCTGCATGCACACACCCAGCACGTGTCAGCAGATGGTGAAGCAACGGGGCCTGAGCACAGCCAGAGCCACCCACGGCTCCAGGAAGAGCTGGTGGCAAAACCAGGCTGAGGTCTGAGGAGGACGCAGAGTGATCGTGGGGAGCTGACAGACGACTGCCGGCCCTCACACCAGGGCCCAGAGCCACCCACGGCTCCAGGGAGAGCTGGCGGCAGAACCAGGCTGAGGTCTGAGGAGGACGCGGAGTGACCGTGGGGAGCTGACAGAGATGACTGCTGGCCCTCACACCAGGGCCCAGGGCCACCCACGGCTCCAGTGAGGGCTGGAGGCAGAACCAGGCTGAGGAGGTCTGAGGAAGACGCGGAGTGACCGTGGGGAGCTGACAGAGACGACTGCTGGCCCTCACACCAGGGCCCGAGCACCCACGGCTCCAGCGAGGGCTGGCGGCAGAACCAGGCTGAGGAGGTCTGAGGAGGACGTGGAGTGACCGTGGGGAGCTGACAGACGACTGCCGGCCCTCACACCAGGGCCCAGGGCACCTCACGGGGAGGGCTGGCGGCAGAACCAGGCTGAGAAGGTCTGAGGAGGACGTGGGGTGACCGTGGGGAGCTGACAGACGACTGCTGGCCCTCACACCAGGGCCCAGGGCACCTCACGGGGAGGGCTGGCGGCAGAACCAGGCTGAGGAGGTCTGAGGAGGATGCGGAGTGACCGTGGGGAGTTGACAGACGACTGCTGGTCCTCACACCAGGGCCCAGGGCACCTCACGGGGAGAGCTGGTGGCAGAACCAGGCTGAGGTCTGAGGAGGACGTGGGGTGACCGTGGGGAGCTGACAGAGACGACTGCTGGCCCTCACACCAGGGCCCAGGGCACCTCACGGGGAGAGCTGGTGGCAGAACCTGGCTGAGAAGGTCTGAGGAGGACGTGGGGTGACCGTGGGGAGCTGACAGACGACGGCTGGCCCTCACACCAGGGCCCAGGGCACCTCACGGGGAGAGCTGGTGGCAGAACCAGGCTGAGAAGGTCTGAGGAGGACGTGGGGTGACCGTGGGGAGCTGACAGAGACGACTGCTGGCCCTCACACCAGGGCCCAGGGCACCCACGGCTCCAGCGAGGGCTGGCGGCAGAACCAGGCTGAGGTCTGAGTAGGACGTGGGGTGACCGTGGGGAGCTGACAGAGACGACTGCTGGCCCTCACACCAGTGCCCAGAGCCACCCACGGCTCCAGGAAGAGCTGGTGGCAGAACCAGGCTGAGGTCTGAGGAGGACGCGGGGTGACCGTGGGGAGCTGACAGACGATGGCCGGCCCTCACAG